TTTGACTGAGCTAATGCTTTCAGGAAAAAAGACTTATTGATTAGAGTGAAGTCGCTTGCAGCATCTGGACTTTTATTGGTTGCATTCGTGAGGTGTTTTTAGCCATTTGATGGAGGTGCAGGTAGTGTTTGTTCTAACACATTTAGTAAATTCTGCTAGCTTCTCTGCCCTGATTTCTCAGGGCTTTCTCACTTCGTCCACTCACCTTGTCACCTGCCCAGAACAGTCCTGTTAGGACTGAAAGCATGTGGTGAGATCACCTCAGCTGCTCTGAAGAGTATTCTTCTCCTTCTCCTCCACGTTTTAATTTGCACGTTGTCTTTCATTCCAAAATACAAAAAATGGCCATCAACCCTCATCTCCACATGATTTTTGTTATTACCTAGAGTATACAGCTAAAAACAAGTGGATATTCTGTTAGATTGAGCAAGAGCAAGCTTTGTTTGAAGTTCTTTCAACAATAGCAAAGATGTCCCACTGTGAGGAGTCAAGTCAGAATTGGAGATTGCAATGAGCACGTGTCTGATCACATCAATCAAAGGAAGACTACATAATGCAAAAAACAATCCTAACAAATAATTGTAGTCATATTTCTGTATATTCGAGTGTGTGGTGATGATGTTTTATGCTGTTTCTTTGTTGTGTTCTCTAGTATAGTTGAAATATGTTGAACAAGGATTACTATAATAGTGTTAGTAGTCCTACAAAGCCACACGAAAACTGAACTGAGACTGTCTTGAGTCTGCCCTGTTGCCTTCAGAAGCATGTTAGTGAAGAGAGATTGAGAGATTTGTGTTCAGCCAGTGTTGCCACCTAATTCTCTCTCTCCCTCGTGGCTCACCATCTCCTCTTTCCGCTTTCATTTACTCCTCACAGTATAGTCCATCAGGTGAGTTGTGCGTATCCCTTGTGTCACTTAGGAAATTGGTGGCGCTTTGTGTATCAGATCAAGGCTGTGAGCTGCTGTGCATATTCCTAACCAGCCCATCAGAGCTGCTTTTCTGGAAATTGCAGAGAGTTTGTTTCCATCCTGCCTTTAACACTCACCGAGCTTCTTTGGAAGACACTGAGCAAGTTATCCAGAAGCTCGAGCACGGAGATTTCGGTGTCCATTTGCTAAAACAGCTAAACCACTAGTCTTCAACTCTTAGTAGAGCATGAGTCTGGGAAGCTGTGTGGATAAAGTCATAGCATGATTTGCTGGGGTTGTAGCACCTGCAAGACTCTTGACTCAAAGAAATCAAAGTGTAAAGAGAAAGGAGCGGTGTCTACGTTGAGGGGACAGTTTGGGGCTTTTAGTTTTCTCCTGATGTTACAGGAGATAAGCACAGAGTCACACCAATCTACTGATGATACTTTCCATCTGGTCATTCAGCTATGGAAGCAAAGTCAAATGTCTCCAGAATGATTTCTTTCTTGTGGGACTTGGAAGCAATACAGATGTTTTTGAAATCACAGCTATCTGATTTGAGCGCAGTGAGAACACCAGAAAAGGACCAAATGATTAAAACAGGAGCTGTTGTGGTTACCACAGTTTGTTGACTCTGCAAATTGTGTGTAGTGCCTTCCCAGCTAAAGAATTTATATTGCTTAGGAGATTGAGATAGTCTCTGAAGTGACTTCCAGATAATGTTAGTGACCTTATAACCCATGTTAGCACATTTCCTTGAACTCTGGAAGTTGCTAATCTTGCTAATACAAATAGGAACTTGCAGCTTAACATTTCTTGGCTGTGTGAGTACTAAGTGGTGGGCTTCAGCAGATAGCCTCCCTGGAGCCCTACTGTGCTCCTGCAGGGTCTTGGTGGTAAACCTCAGCAGCTGCTAATACGAGAACTACATAACATGCATGAGAAAAAGAGAATCGTACTCCTTTTATTTTTAGAAGAGGAATCCAGAAACTAGATTATTTTTGGTAACACTTTTTTTTCAGTTGAGATAGGAAAGCAAGTGCAGATCAACAAGTGCAGCAAGGACAAAAAAGGAATAAGAGTCGCCTTAGAAAATGAGCATCCACTAGTCCTCAAGCTACAAAGCAGCAGGAAATATTGGGAAAATAACTCTTCCTAAGATGTCCAGATTTATCAAAGCACTTATCTGCACAGCATGGAGAAAACAAACCGCTGCGTGTGTCAGTGCTGGGTGTGGGTGCACATGCCGGTGTGTGTGTTTGTGTAGGGAGAGAAAACACACCTTGAGGAAACGTAATGAATAATTTTATCTGTGGTTGCAGAAAACGGAAGGGGAGAGAGAGAGAGAAATAACTGTCTTTTTTAATCAAGACTGCTGCATGCTCAGACATTTAGCGACAATGTGCGCATTGATTATGGAATGCTGGATACAGAGTTTCTTCACGAAGATATGAAGAAGTGACGTATTATTTTCTGGCAGAAATTTAGGACTGCATTGTGTCTTAACGTGGATATTCCTCTCTAAATCAGTTAGTTCTCTTCAGAGTGATCAATCTTCCAAATGCCTTCCTTTAGAGACTTTAGTAGTTGTTTTACTCAGTTTGTGATGTGGAACTGTATGAAGTTCCTGGTCAAACCACACCTGCTGGACAGTTATAAATAGAAACATTACAAGGAGGTAAAAGAGAAATAGGGCATACATTTTAAATTATAAGGAAAACGATTTGCAGAATAATAGAATAAGAACATTCTAGCTCTTTTCCATTAAAAATATGTTTTCACCCTCCTGAACTGGAGCAATTGTTACGTTCCTGATAGGTGAGGAGTGCTCTGCTGTAATAAGAAGTCTTCTGCCCGTAGATCCCATTGTACTTTACATGCAGTCATTCGTTACAGCTCCCAAAGTATCTGCCAAATATTCTGTTCCCCTTTCACAGATGGTGAAACTGTGGCACGGCAAAGCCACATGACTTGATAAATCCAGATCATGTGTCCTCTCTAATATCTTAACCACTGGAAATTCCCTGCCAAGATTGGCTGTCAAAGCTATCTTCCCAGGAAAAAAGATTTCTAAATTTAAAATATAAATGAAACTCAGTGAAAAACCCAAGTCTGGATGCAGCTGCAGAAAAGTGGGGAGGAGCTGTACAGTGGCATGAGCCTCCTGGTGCTGTTGGGTCAGGATCACACACGTGGCAAATGGAGATGCCAACGGTGTGAGGACACGGCCCTTGGACACCCTGTCCGCCTTTCTATGTTGGCTCTTATAAAATACAAGCCTAAAGAGTTCCTTGGTCATTTAACGAATCAGAAAAACCACAGCTCAGACCCTCCCTACAACACCTGACAATGCAGTAGAACAAAAATCCAGACTATGTTTTCTGACTTTCCCCTTTGGTTTTTAGTACATGAGCTTCGTAGATATAAAGGTGAGCAAAGTTCTACAGAGGGCAAACCTCTCTTTTTTTCTGTTTAGGATCATCAGAACGCTTATCATAGGTAAATTTTTTTTCATTTTATTATCATCTAAATTCAGGCAAGACTGATAAGAAATTGCTGCTCATACCTAAACATGCCAACACTGTCTTCGACTATATTAAGCCTCAGGAAAAAGCTTCTGAGAGAAACTATTTACGTTAGGTATTTCTGTGGTCTGTATCACCGTAATATCTAAGCATATCATGATCTTTAATAAACTTATTTCCATACTCTTTGTTGGTAGAAAGTGGTATTATTCCCATTTAACACAGTGGGAAACAGACCAGAAGTTAAGTAACTTGTCCAGGGTAAGAAAGCAGGCACTGGGGTCACACTTTCTCTTTTAGGAGCAAAAGCTCTTTCTCCTCCAACAATTTTGTGAAAGCTTGGGTCTCTTCTTTCTTGACTAAGTAACAAAAGCAGCGTATTCACAGTCAGAGCGCTCCAGCCGAGAGCCGCCAGTAGCACCCAGGTCAGCGGGGTTGCATGCAGTGGGTGCACGGCATCAGGCAGGTGACTTGGCCCGTCAGTGTCCGTGGGGCTACCGACACGCCTCAGCGTGCCCACCGGCCTTGGTAGGTTGGACCAGAATGTGCAGTAGGCCTGCACCACAGTGCTGACTCCAGATGAAAGGATGACCCTGCAGAGGCTGTTTGTGCGGATAACATCAGTCAGAGCTGATTGATACTTGCAGTCTGGGTCGGTTTAATTATTCTGTAACCGGCAGAAGGATATCACTAGGTACTGTGTCTTGCTAAAAAGCAGCACCTCTTGAAAGGTATCAAAGGGTGATTATATACTTCAATATAATTGTAGATTATGTTTCTTTTGGATCTTTTAACAAGCCCTCTTCTTGGTGCCTACCTTAGTGGTGTCTCTCTCTCTCTCTCTCAGTACTCAGCCATCAACATTTTTTCGCAGTCCTCTTATACCCATATTTTTATTTTCCCCTCAGCCCCTTCACATTTTTGACTTAAGGGCCAGTTACAAACCTTACACAATTGCAGACAAGGGTGTTGACTTCCCTGGGTTTCAAATTTAACCTATGCTGGAGATCGTCCCCTCCTCTGGACAGCACTAAATCTTTCCTGCCAGAGATAACTAGTCCTCGGGGCTCAGAGCTGTAGTTCTGAAGAGAATAATATTTAGCCTTTGGAACAGGCTAGATTGCACCACACAGCAAGCAATTTCAAAACATTTTTGAGGAAAACATCCCCTTGGGTCCATCTCAAGGCCTTCACCGGTAGAGGACAGAAGGCAACGTGTGATGTTATCAATACACCTCCATCAGTTTTCCCAGGGACCACAGTGGCGAGGCTTGATGGTGACACAAACTTCCTGGGCTGCAGCTTGAGGGAATCGTTGTGCAAATGGAAAAGGAAGAGGAAGGGTCTTTCTCCAGCTTTCCTTCTAACTCCATAAGACAGGGAATTTATCACAGACCGGCACGGAAATCTCTGTGTTGGCCCTGTTCAGAAACAGTCTATTGGCCAGCCATCGGCTTTGTGAGCAATGCATTAAGCTGACGCAGTAAATAGATTTTTCTAGAGAGAAGTGCTTTGCTACAGTGCTGTCTTTACTAATGTATATTCTTCTGCTTTCCATCAAACAGTCAATGAAGGCTCAGGTGAAACCAATCAAAAAGAGACATCGACCTGTGACATTTGCCAGTTTGGGGCAGAGTGTGACGAAGATGCAGAGGATGTTTGGTACAGTAATTTGGTCTACTCTTCTATTTTAATGACTGTTTTATTATTTAAAGGTACTGTGGTTTAGAAAGCATTAAAAATATTAGAGATTCAATTTTCTGCACCTAGAGATTCGTCACACAGTGATTGAGGTGGTTATTACTCTGAAAAAACGTATAAAACAGTCTGGTTTATAATTTTGGAACATGCACAATTTAGACAAAGTCTAGAAACACAATTATGCATTTTGTTGCTGTTATAACTTATGTTATTCCATCTGGGTTTTTACAGCTTTATACTTTGGTAAAAATAGAATTGGGAAAAGTAATTGACCTAAAGCTTTTCCGGTTAAAAAGTATCATTAGTATTATCACCATGTTAATTCATGTGTGGCATTAGAAATGCTGCGAAATCTGTCTCGATTTTTCCTAGTTGCTGCAGTTGAAGACCTTACCCTCAAATGTCTGAAATAATCAGAGTGTACATTTAGACATTTTCTCAATGGAAATTGTTTTGGGTTTTATTTTTTAAAAGAAGTTTCAAAAATATTCAGTTTTTTTATTATTATTTTAAACCTTAACCACATAAGCTGAAGGGAAGTAATTCTATCTACTCAGAATTTTATTTTTTTTTTAATTTTTCATTTTGCCTAGAAGCTATGCGCACATGTATTAAGTCAACTTTAAACTAATCATTTCATTGTGATTTTGGAACAGCCAATAGATAAAAAAAGCCGCTATTCCCAGAGCTGTACTTCTAACACTGCCTTAATGCCAAGCCTCATATTTCTATCTAAGTAATTAATAAAAATTTAGAGAGACAACAAAATAATCGTGCAAACATTAGAGCCGTTGTCTGAACGATGCTTCTGAAGCTGTGGACTGGTGGTAGCTGAAGATGGGTACAGAGACTGGGCAGTGAGAGGTCGATCAAGCAGTATTGCCCAAATTCTAACTTGGGCGGTAGGAACAGAGCAGAGAGAGGAGTCAATGAATGAATGAATGAATGGTGAACATGACAATCGGGCCCAGTGTTGGGCAGCTGCCCTCATCCAGGCAAGGCATCCATGTGCTGTTGGTCAGGCATGAAATTATGAACGTTTCTGCTGTTTAGTGAAAAACCTTAGGAATATGGCCATCCATTTGTGCTCATTTGGTTTTGTCTTGCCAGGCTCTTAATAACCTCTGGTTCTAGCCTTTAAAACACACCCACTAAAAAAAGCTCAGAGACCTTGCTCTGGTTCCAATCATCAAAAGAAATTGTGGTGTTGAAAAACAGAAGCAAGGTGCATCATGGTTATAGGTTTGCAATAATGTAATGAGATTTGTGAGGAAGAAATTGCTTAATTTTGACTTTGCTTAAGAAAATTACTCCAGGTGTCAGGATTTTCGTTTTCTCCTTGACCGGTTGTCCTTGAGAGTTTTGGTGGTGAGATGTAGAAACAAAACTGTGGTAAAATTAATATATCAAAATTCACAGTCTAGTGCTCATGTTTTCATAATTAAGTGCACTTCCAAATTGGAAGGCAGGAGAAGAGAGGGGCAAGGAATAAAATTAGCTACAAGATAACGTTATTAATCATAAGCACTGAGTAGCAGTGTTTATTTTTTTCCAGAAATAGCTCGATAAAACAGCCTGATCCTACTTACCCCAGTAATGTTCCCATTGCAGCTTTTGCACTATCTAATTCCTCCCCTTTGAAACAACTTGGCTTATACGGAGCAGCGTAATGACTGCAGGAGCTGAAGTTCTCGATCTTTATTGACAGCCTATCTTTCTGCAGGGGAAGATGCTTCTTGGGACGGGAAGCAGGGAAGGGCATTTAGTAGGAAGATGCCACCAGACCAACTGTTAAAAGGCAGGAAAGCAGATTTCCAAGCAGAAGTACAAAGACCGTGTAAAGCCTGTTAAAAGTCTGCTTTGAAGTAAACAACTTCATATGCCGTAACAGAGCCCTGTTTTCCTGTCCCTGCTCCCTGATTAGTCTTGAATAACCGTCTTTCTAAAAAATGAGCCTTCTGGGTGTTAGCTCTTTGTTATTCTTATTTCTAGAATAAAAGCGGACTATGTATGGGGGACCTAGATCCCTCTTTCCAGTGTACGTTAATTGAATTTCCATGTTTGGCACCGGATAGACATATTCCCCCACTCCCCCTGCCAAGATCTGGTATGCAGAAAATGTCCTTAGATTAAGTGGGAAAAGAAATTTCAGTTTATTATTTGATCACTATTTTTACACGGATCAAATTTCAGCTGCCAGCAGGGCTCCTTTAGCTATCTCACCTGACTGATGAGGTTTGTAAAATCCAGATGGGGTTAGTGAGTTCCGGCAGCCCCAAGACCTTTTGTTACAGGGTGAGGAGCCCAGCACCAGCAGTGTCCCCTATCAATCAGAAGCAGTTTGAGGGTGCAGGGTCGATGCCTGATCTGTTCCAGGTAAGGAGGATGCAAGCCGGTAGCAGAGCCAGATCGCAAAGAACTGAAGCTACGAGGCTGGCTGTTCGCCTAATATTTCTAGGGTGCCAGAGTAGATCAGAGAAGAGAGCACAGGTGTGATGGCAGATGTGGTTGGGCTGCCAATGATTTAAAGCAACAATTAACGTTGTTCTGCATTGCCACAGTCTGTTATTCTGCAGTCCCTTGTCTCTGTTTTAACTCTTTCTTTATTTTTATTTTTTTTTGGTTATTCATTGCCAGTTGTCACTCAGCTAAATAGTGCTATTGTACTGTGTCACCATTATTTTAAAATCTTTTTATTTGTGTAAAACCAAACTGTTAATGGCTAGACTCCTGGGATTCTGATAGGGGGGCTGGAATGTAGGAGACTACTCAAAAGAGTAAGATATATGTGTGAATGTTTTCTGGAAAGCATAAAGAAAAGACAGAAAAGAACCCACTGTAATAACAGGTTTTCCACAGCGTGGTAAAGTACGCATGTATTATTATCCTATTCTGCAGTCCTATATCATGAGAGTGAGCGCAATTTGGCATTCCATTAGTGAATCTCTTTCTCTAGGTTAAAAACAAAGACTGTTCAGTTGAAAGTCTTTAACATCTTGCTACTTTAATATGTGAAAGCTTCTTGTCACTAAGAGGATCGTGTATTACTGGCATTATTCCCACCTTTAATGCATTTTGCACCACTGGGCTTCATGAATATTTAAAGGAGGGCAGTGGCTATGCTCTTTAGCACCGGATTGCAATCTATTGGTAAATCAGACATTCGGTGTTGCTTAGTTTGGGTTTTATTTCTGAGCTGGCTAAGGAATAATTGATTTTGTAAGACAGGGCTACTCAACATAACACCCCGAGAGATATACTTAAAAGGAAGTGAAGAATGAAGCGTAACGTTGTGAACCATGGTGTATGTCTAAGATCTTCCAAAAAGCACCCATGAAATACTCACTCACTGTGTATAAATAGTACTCACCAAATGGAGTACCTGCTTATCTGCTAAAGTGGCTTAGTATCAGTGCATAAACCACATCAGAAACCTGGATTCCAGTATTAATCTCCTCCTATGGACCACTGAGGAAGTAAGAGCACTCTCTACACTGCACAAGCTCTGGTTTGAATAGTTACTGAGCAGCTATTTCAGAGGTCCATGATGTGTCCAAGGAAGTGGAAGTAGATAAATAATAGGAAAAACTCTTCTGTTGAATTTCCGGTTGGAAAACGCTGAGAAGAGAGGACAGGAGTATTTTCTTAAAGCAAGATTAAAGCCTGCAAACCTCTGACTTGTAGAGTTAATCAAAATCAAAATGATGAATTGGGGTTAAATATGCATGTTTTTCCTTTGAATTTCAATATCAGCAGGTCAGCCAGCAGCAGTCTCAAAGTGCAGGATTGCCCAGAATGAGATACAGTTTGCTAGCTATAAGACAGACAGACAGAGATGTAGAACGTGCTCAGGAGACCACGCTTTCTCTGCAGCCTGGCAGTGTCTAAGGATGTGAGGAGGCCATCTCCACAGATTGCTCCTCTGCGTTCCCCTTCCTCCCTACTGGAGGTTGCAGGTGGAGGACAGAGGCAGCAGCATCCCTGGTAGGAGGTGCCTGACCCTGAATGGGCCACACATGGCTTTGCAGCAGTGGTGAAAAGAGGCGTAAATGACCCCTGCTGCTTCCCACAACTCAGTCCCATGCACCCCAACGACTCCTCTTTGGCTGAGCATAGTGTTTTGTGCTCTGCCATAGGCATTATGCCTGTGGTAGGCAACTTTCCTCTGTCCTCACAAACCTTGGGCCATGCTGGAGGGGCCTTTTCCATGTCTTGCAAGTGGACAAGGATCCCATCAGGCAGGTTCAGCTCAGGAGAAGATGTTGAAGCCATTCTGTGGGGACACTATGTCCCTGATGACCCAAAGCTGGGAGCTTGGAGGTAGCCATCCAGGCCTGAGTGAAGCGGCTTGGTGTGTTCAGTGTCTCATCCGGAGGGTGAGGGAAGGAGCATCGGTCTGAGGTGTGCTGTGTGGCTGGGTGGTGTTCCCAAGTGAGGTGGTGATGTTGCAGCATAATTACAGCAGGGCCCTTGTGTCCCTGCGCTTCTTTCCGTGTGGCTGGGACAATCAGCTCCACTTACAGCAGACAGTCACACACACAAAACATATTAGGAAGATGAACTGTTTCGGTCCTTCCTTTCATACTTTACTGCTAATCACTGATAGATACAGTTTGGGTAAACGCTCCTATAAGGCAAGCGCACAGTCTGCTACACATGAGGGTGGTGAAACTGCATTCTCATGCAAATAAGCCGCGCTGTACATGGGAGATATTTGTGCAAATCATGCAGCTGCCATCAGCAGCGACCTCGACAATCAATATTGCTCTAGCAATCGATATTTATCTTTATTATAGTATAGAAAGAAAACATATAAAAGAAACTAATGATTTTGCTAGCTTCTCAATCCACACAGCAATTAGGTCAGTCAGCTTTGGGTCCCTTCCCCTTTCAATCAGTTGCTCTCAACCAGAGCATCTGCAAACAAGATGCTGTACTACTATAAGGTACTAAAAGGTGGT